AAAAGCAGGGGTTAATTATCTTACAATCTCATCCAGGTTCCATTTTTTTTGTTTTGTTTTTTGGATTACCTTGAAGGTTTACAGTACTAATGCCTGCACATTAAACAGCACTGTGGTATCATTATGGAGTCTACAAGAAGAAACAGCCTGGAGCTCACTAGTAGAGGGCATCCAGCTCCTTCTCCAAGTAGATTCAGAGGAGAATGAGGGTGTGTGCCAACCCCTGGACCAAAGACAAGCTCCCCTACGTCTAAGTTTTCATTGAAAAAACAAAAACAAAGGTTACTTTGTATTATGAAGGACTGCAGACAAGATCTTGTGTTTTTTGGGTGGTATGTCCCTAGACACACAAAAAACTTTTCAATAAATTTTCAGAGGCATCTCTGATCACAAAGACACACACAACACACCTACACCCCTCCTGCTTAGATGGACAGTTAGGGTTCGGAAAAGTCAGGATGAAGAAAAAAAATCAGAACCAAAACTGTAAAGCAACTAGAAAGTAAAATTCAAAATACCAGTATAGACTTTAGAGCCTTTATCTTTAAAAAAATTTTTTTTAAATTATCCCGGAGTATGCAAGATGGCTCAGTAGGTATAAAGGCACTTGCTGCCAAGTTTGAGACCCGAGTTCAACCCTTGGAACCCACATGATGGGAGGAGAGAACTGACTCCTGCAATTTGTCCTCTGCCTTCCACCCGCCATCTGTGGTGTACACTGTTTCTCTAAGTTTTCATTGAAACTTAGAGAAAATTCTCTAAAAAAAAAATACACAGATAGGTGTAATTTTTTTAAAAAATTAAAGTAGAAATCAAAAACTTTTAAGCCTCTAACTCAAAAATAACTTCAAAAAGCAGGAAGATTTTAATAAAGATAAAAACATCAATCAATGAATTAGAATCCCTAAAAGGGTAATATTCCTAATACTATATAGATTGATCTTTAGGGAATGGTAATAGATCATATCATTAGCTAATGTAATCAAGGGCAGGGGAAGAGACCAGGAGATGGCTCAGCAAAGTGCCCATGATCCTTAGAACCCACAAAAGACTGGGTGACACATGACTGTAATCCCAGCACAGGAGAAGCATAAACAGCCCAACGCCTGGGGCTCACTGGCGGTTGAATCAGCAAGTTCCAGCCAGGAGAAAGACTGTCCTAGACAAGGGTGGGAACCTCAGGTCCTCCTCTGGCCCCTACAGTTACACATGAAGCTGCACACACAAACACAAAGAGAAAATATCCGGCGTCAGGGTGATCAAATTATGTTTAAAAATTATTTATCAGAGCCATTCATGGAGCAGTAGAATAACTAAGACAATTACGAGAGAAGAAATAGCAAACAGCATTAAAAGGCTACCAGCCCCACCCAGCACACACTGGTTTAGTTTTACCCCAGAACTGAGCAAGATTTACAACAGACGATTCCATTTAACTTGACAAGTGTGCAAGGAGAGAGGGAAGCTGCAGATGGCAACATTCAGCAACAAATTGTTCTAAATCAGGGCCTGGGAGTAGGGTTAGGGCTACGAGACAAGACCCCGAATTAACGATAAAAAAACTTTCTAATTAAGGTAAGAATCTTAAATAACAGGTTCCAGCCTGAAAGCCGTATAAAGAATGATTCCCCCATGACCACGTGGGGTTCAACCAAAATGCAAGGGTACTTCAACATGACATCACCGCTCACAGGCTCATAACCTGCAAAGCCATCTGGAAATGTTCCAACCCCTACTTTTGATTGTAAAACTTTAATAAAATGGAGACTGACTTAACTTGATCAAATACTCATTTCACAGCTAGTATTTCTTTGGCAGGGCAATCTGCACACTACAGTATGTGGAATGGTGGCTACCACTGTCATGGGCAGTGTTCCAGGGATGACAATCAGAGCGTCAACCCTATTCAACAAAACCAAGGTAAAATAGGAGCCAGACATGGCTTTACCTTTAATCCCTAGCACTGGGAAGGCAGATTCAGGTGGATGTTGGTGAATTTGAGGCCAGCCTGATTGACATAGTAGACTCCAGGCCAGCCAGGACTATAGAGGAGACCTTGTCTGAAAACAACAAACATAAACAACTAAAACCCAGCATGGTGGTGCACACCTGTAATCCCAACTCCCCGCAGGTGGTGGCAGCATGGTGATGAGTGCATTCTTACTTACATGGCAAGTTTGAAGCTAGCCTGGACTGCACAAGGCTAGTCTCAAAAAGACAAAGTAGTAAATAGATTATCATTTTCACTGCAGAGACTAAACTGCAGAGACTAAACTGGAAAGCTCTTTCAGCAACAGAATGCAAGAAGGCGGTAGGAGTCGGCCGCAGTCACACGATCAGTTTCTGCTATGGGGAAGAGCGGTGCATTGAAAGCATTGAAAATGCTCTCCTCTCCAGAGGCAGACTGGCCCCCAAATGTGTGGGAGCTAACTGCAGTGACTTAGAACATTCCCAGGGGATACAGGAGAAGTCTGAACATACAGGCATGCCTGGCTCTGGGAGGGAAAGAGCATTACAAAACACCATTTCTCCTGGGATCCATCTGTCAAGGTATGCACTCCCACTATGAACGCCACCCCTAAGTAAGTGGCTCCTCAGGTCAGAAGGCAAATAAATAAGGTTACCATGGAAATCTGGAGTGGGTTACCAAGGAGCACGAAGCGCCAAGTGAACATCAGCATATGTTATCCATGCTGCAATGTGGCTGACCTTGGAGAACCAGCCACACTGGCCCAGCCACATGGCTCAGTGGGTAAATGCGCTGGCCACCAAGCAGGAGGGCCCTGAGTTTGATTTTTTGGGATGCACACGATGGAATGAAGTGATTCCCACAAGCTGTCCTCTGCCATCCCCATGTGCTTGGTAGACACGTGTGTATGTGCTCACACATAAAAGGAATAAATGCAGTGAGAGAGAAACAACCACAAAAGAACACACATGAATGAGTGGATTATGAAAGCCGAGAGTTGAACTTCTCTGTGGAGAAGGGGTGGAGGGAGGCAGCAGCTGCCGTTGGGTATGAGGCTGACGTGACTACTGATGCTAATCAGACTGTGAGTGTACCCAGAGATCACTGCTGGCTGAACAGGGTCATAGTTCAGTAAACTCAAAGTTTCCAATGACAACAGCCGGCTGTGGTAGTGAGACCGAGGAGGCATCAGGAGGCCAAAGTCATCCTTGGCTACAGGATAAATTCAAGGCTAGCCTAGGCTACATAAAGCCTTGCCTCAAAAAAAACAAACAAAAGAACAAAATGGGATGGCAGGGGTGGTTGTGGATAAATATGGATGAGAGCATGGTGGACCTCGCTAGCTAGCTCAGTGGCAAGAGAGCTTGCTTAGCATGAGTGAGGACCTGGTTCAATCCCCAGAGTCGCCAAACAGAAAGGAGAGAGACTAGTACTGGGCTAACTGCTGATCATACTTAGATCTCAACCTCATACTTCAAAGCCAATAAGCTTTGAAACAATTTGTTTTGTTTTGTGTCTCTACATAGCCCGAGAACTCACCATGCTGGCCTGGAACTCAGAGATCAGCCAGCATCTGTCTCCCAAGTGCTGGACACTTTTTTGTTTGTTTGTTTGTTTTTCAAGACAGGGTTTCTTGGTGTAGTCCTGGCTGTCCTGGAACTCACTCTGTAGACCAGGCTGGCCTGGAACTCACAGAGATCTACCTGCCTCTGCCTCCCCAGTGCTGGGATTAAAGGGTGCACCACGACTGCCTGGCCTGCAAACACTTTTTAATACTATAAAAACAGAAGCCTTTTGAAGCATGTAAGTCACATACTTTTAAACAAGAGACTGGAAGAAGGCTTGGGGAGACCATTTCCCTTTAAAAAGCAGGTCTCCTAAGTATGACTCAAAACTTAAAAGCCACAAAAGATCAGAATCTACACAAAAGACAAACCAGGGGAGACATGAAGTTCACATGTCTCATACCACAGCTCCCACAGATCAACAAAGACGGACAAACCAAACACCCCATCAAAAAAGTGGAACAATAGACGCACACAGAATGTTCAAAGTTAGAACAAATGATATGACACAAAGACACTGAACTTCTGTCATCACAAATGAAAACCACACATAAACCTGTGCCCATTGCCCAGGTGTCAGGGCCTGTTCTGGTGGGAGTGAGGATGTGGGGAAGGAGGACCTTTATACTGTCCCAGGGTGTAACAGCGAAAGCTGTCAGACCACACCCACCAGGGTGATGACATGTCTAACCTGCTCTGACCCCGTATTTCCTCTTCCAGAGTTTCCCCATGCCGTATCACACCTGGTGACAACACGGGGCTTACTGCCACATTGCTTATCAAATCAACACGTTGTGGACAGTTTAAATAGAGGGTTGGCCAAATAAATTATGGCTCATCCTTGCCAGAGAAAGGTACACAGGAAGAGACAGCTCTTTGGCAGGTGACCTGGGGAGTATGGATGGCCAAGTGAGGTGTCGGACCATATCAGATGTGCAAGCATTTGCCAGAGCTCATAAAACATCTGAGGGCACACAGGAAATGGACAACAGCTGCCTCCGAGGGGGCAGGGCTTGGGTCTCATTCCTTCCTTAGGAATGTTAGACAAGAATGCTACTTTCAAGATAAATAGTTGAAGCAGCAGCAGTAACAGTGTAAACAGCTGCTTATAGGCTGCAGGGCAGAAACTATGTTGTGCCTCCCTGGAGAGCCATGTCCCATCCCTGCTTTGTGTCATGAAGTATGTAGTCCAGGCTGGCCTCTCTCCTTCCTGAGTGCTGAGGTTACAGGTGCACAGTCATGCCCAGCTCCAGAATTCTGACTTGGAGGCATGTGGTGGGTGGGCTCCCTGGGGGATGAGCTAAGGCCTCCCAAGGTATCTCAATGTAGAGGTTCTGCATGAACACTCCAGACAGGGGTCAGATTGGGCCATGGCCCACCCTACAGAAGCCCGAGGAGCAGAAAGCAAGTCCCAGGACAGAGTATGAAGAGGGAGGAACAGGAGGCAGTCGAGGGGTCTCACTCACACTTGCGCAGCTCCAGGCTCTTGCTTGGACAGACCAGGTGTTGGCCGGGCGGGTTCTGAGTCCTCTGTAGACAGGCCAGCATGGCTGAGCTGGGAGCCCCAGGTGGGGCACGTTCTGCAGCAAGGTCCCTGTGAAGAGGGAAGACAAGGCACTGATTACTGAGAGCTGCTCCAAGCAACCTCCTGCCCTCCCCAGTACCCCAAGGAGCATCACAGATTGATTGTTTTTGAGACCCTTCTCTTTGTAGTCCAGGCTAGCCTACAGCATATAGTCCCCCAGGTGCTGGGACCAGGGGCATTGCCACTACATCTGCCTTTGGGTCAGATGTTCAGAACAGACATTGCATCTCCTTCAGAGGGGGAAACTGAGGCATCCATACATGCCCCAAAGGCATCACAGGGCAGGATCAGAAGTATCCTTCCACCACAACATGGCCAGAACTTGTGAGTCCTGTGTACCCTTGGCTAGCTCAAGTGTGTGCATCACCCCCAAATGTTTCAGATTCTCACCCCCTCTATCAAGCTGTCCTTTGGCTGGTGGTGGACCCCAGTTCACAGGGAAGGGGCTCATTTAGTCATCCTTGGAGTCCACACAGGAGTATTTAGGTAGGGCCAACAGGTACAGTGTCCCTATTTACATGAGTAAGTCACTGGTGTAGCACCTGTTTGGAGTGTTCTCATATTACCCCTGGAGACAAATTGTCAGGATGGTGTCCTGGGGAGGAGGCCTGGGTAGGGCCAGAGTCACCCACAGCAACCCTTAGATGGCAGCTGAGATGGGCCTCCCCATAGCCCATGCTGTTATTTACCTACTTAAGCTAGACACCAGGGGTAGGGGGAGACAGGAAGCCCACACATGTCCCCAACAAAGCCCACCTTCCTGAGGGTGTGGTACCCTGACAAGCCAGCCTTAGAGGCCACTGTGGAAGATGAGGGTGTCCTAGGGGGTCCATCCTTTCTCTCTACCACAGAAGGGCTCAGCCTGGGTCCTTGTATCCTCTCCATTGCCAGCCATCCCCACCCCTGGCAGCCAGCCTGGGTTGCCTCCATCCCGAGCTGGTTGGAAAGGAGGAGGGGGGTGTTTAAGGGGAGAGAGGGAAGGTATTTAATACTAAACAGGTGTCTGAAGCCCGGAATTCTGCTGCTTCTAATAATGAAGTATTCATGAGGAAAAGCTTTTTTCACCACTTTCTTAGGATACTAATTTCACAACAAGCTCCTTGTTACAGCGCAATTATTCCAATCTTGTATTCCCCGAGACGGTGGCAGCCTCCCGTCTGTCCTGGCCTCTCGGTAAATGAAAGACAATCATCACATAACCACCTTTCATTATGCTTCTATTTTACTTTCAGCAGAGGTACCCGCGAGTAAAGATTTCCTCTGAAAGGGACTTTTATTCAGTTTCAAAACCAATTTTCTCCTATTACTGTCTATAAAAAAAAAAAGAAGAAGAAGAAAAAGAAGAAAGAAAGAAAAAGGACGTGGGGGGATGGATAGGTGTGGGGGAGGGGGGCTCCTCCCCCTCCCCCAGTCACCGGTCTTAACACTGCGAGCGAGGCAATAAAAGCAGCAATATCCACTTCCCGGCTTTGATTTCTGGTAATTTTAAAATATGCCATTACAATCAGGCAGAAATGACACAGCTTGAGGAGGGAGTGAAGTGGGGCTCATTGCAGGGATGGAAGTCCTTGATGCAGAAAGCAGCCAGGCTCCTGAGGGACCTGGGGTGGAAGCAGGTGGCAGAAACAGGCCTGCTGGGGCCCCCAGCACCACATGCCACCGTCTGGCCTTGAGGCCACGGTTCGCCCCATTCAGACCGAGTGTGCCGGGCTTCCACACACGCTGCAGATGCACGCTTGTGCACATGTGATACATACCTGTGTCACACTCCATCACATGGGTGGGGTCCCTGAAATGGACGTTTTGACAGTTCATGGGGACACATGACTGGCACATGCACAGGTGTGAGAGGCCCTCGGCATTTGCCTTGACCCCTTCCATCGCAGCATCTGTTTCCTGCCTCCCTGATGCACAAAACCTGACCACGCCCTTCTCTTCACAGGTGATACTGGACTGGAGAGGCAGAACCTGGGAGGTTAGAGCCTAGAGCACCCCCCGCCCCGCATATTACTCTAGAAACCTGACCCATTCTCTTACCAGGTGCAGGAGGCCAGAGTCCCAGCCTCACTCCAGGATGAGGGCACCCTGGTGGGCCACCCTCCCTAGCACACTTGGAGCTGAAAAGGACATGATGGGCTGCAGCTGTTGAATAAGGGCAGGGCCTCTTGTCTCCAGAGTTAGTATGTCCAGGCAGTCTTGGGGTCATGGGGGCCACCAGGCTAGGAGGAAATGGACCATGTCCATTTCTGGCTCCTCTCAGCTTCTCAGGGCAGTTCTTGCCGGTTTTCACCTCTGGAGGAACCAGGTTGACTGACCCATACATAGCCTGTGACACCAGCTTCATTTGGGGATGGAGAGGGGGCTTGTCTGCTTCAAGTCTCCCAGATCACCATCCATTCTCTCCAAACCCTGTGTCCTGCTGTGGGGACTGAAGTAGGGGGGGGGTGGTCTCAGATGAGCCAGAGGCCAGCCAAGCATCATGGGGAGTGAGATGCCCACCTCAAGTTCCCATAACACCTCAACACTTTGGCCTTTAAACTTCTCCCAACATAACCAACCTTCTCTGCCTGGTCCAGCTCTCCCCCTGCCGCCAATCTCTCAATGCTCCCACAAGGCCCTCCTCTGACTAATGGCCTCATACCTCCAGACCACGGCACCTGCTGTGCCCTGGGCCTGTGGCACTGCCACCCAGCCATGTTAATCCAGAGCCATTTCAGATGGCTTGGCTGGCCATCTGGATGTCCCTCTCCACAGCCCTAATCACACCCAGTTGTAACTGCCAGCTTCATGTCTGTCCATCTCTGCTGGACCGTGAGTTTCTATGGGGCGAGGGCCATGTCTTATTTGTTTCCATCTGACCACAAAAAAATCATTTAATAAGTAGATGTTTGGAGACAGCTCTGCAGTTAAGAGTGTTTGTTGCTCTTAAAGAGGACCTGAGTTTGGTTTCCAGGTCCCATGTCACTCCAGCTCCAAGAGGTACACACATGACACGCCCTCACAGACACAGCACATGTACATGCATGATACACCTTCACACAGACATACAAATAATAAAGTAAAAATAAGGCATCCAAATAATGGCTGCACCAAATGAACTGGCCATTGTGAGATGACAAGTCTAGAGACACCAAGGGTCCTGCACAAGGTCTCACAGCGAGTCAGGAATGGGGCTGTAGTGGACACTTAAATACTCATGCCACCGGGTGGTAGTGGCGCACACCTTTAACCCCAGCACTTGGGAGGAGAGGCAGGCAGATCTCAGTGAGTTTGAGGCCAGCTTGGTCTACAGAGTGAGTTCCAGAATGGCTAGGACTGTTACACAGAGAAACCCTGTCTGGAAAAACAAAACAACAACACTCATGCCTTTCCTGTGATTTCTGCCATGCCTTCTCCTTGCCCAGCCCCTTCCACCCCATCCACAGATGGTGGGTTCCTTAAACCCTCCAGCACAAAACCATCACCATCCAGCCCAGCGGGGACCATCTGGAGAGCCACACTGTGCAAATCAGACTGTTTATAAGCTCAAGGCCTTTTGTGACTTTGATAATAAAGGGGGGTGAGGGGGATGGGAGGGAAAATGTCGCAAGCCTCAATGATTAGAATGCTCTGGCACCATCCCTGACGTGGGTGCTGATAAGACGTCTTATCTGGGAGACACCCAAGGAAAAGGTCCCCTCCACCAGATAACACCCCCAGCTGTCAATGTGCCCTTTCGTAGCTGGACTGTAGATAAGAGCTGTGACAGGGGAGGAAAGGAGGACAGAAACTTTCTGAGCGGAGGAGAATTAAGTCTGATGCCCGAGTAGAAAACAATGAGCAGACGCTGTCTACGGGCTGTCTTTATTTTATTCAGAGTCGTCTTGTGGGTGGGAGGTTAGCCTTGCTACCTTTTTGTCATCGATTCCTCTGTGTCTGGCTGCAGGGGGCGACAGGGAGTCCCAGGAGGAAGAACTTGGAACTAGCAGGGGTGTTGGGTACTGAGGACAGCATTTAGATGTAACCCTCTGCATTGAGATCTGAGTACATCCTGTCCTTCAGCCCAACTGGCATGGAGGCCGTGGCCAGAAGCTGGTTTTAGTTTCCTTTCACACAGTAAGAAATGGTCACTGTGTGTCAGGGGTGGGCGGCAATGTGTACAAGATCAGATAGATTTTTAATAGGCAGAGTCCACGGGTATCAGATCCTAAACCTCAGACTCCTGTATGGCAAGTCCATCATAGTCGGGGGAATCCCAGAAGCCCCACCTTCAGTCAAGCTACCACCAAGGAACAGCTACAAAGCCCTGATTCCCCTCAGTGCCCACAATCCACTTGGATTCTACCCTGAGAGGGGCTGGGAGGAGAGGAGAGGCACAGAAAGAAGACAGAGGCTCCCTGGAGGCCACCCACACATTCTATAACCATTCAACAGAACACGGCATGCATGCTATGCAGCAGGTGGAACCCTGCCCTCCCCCACTCACTCACTTGCTCGCTCACTCACTTGACAACACCTTTTGGGGGGCCACTCCTATGCCACATGTGTAAGCATGACCCGTCACAAGGCCCCAGAATATCACTCACTCAGAACTGCTCCCCTCCCCCCCCCGACTAAATTCAGCGTAAGCTGAAAATAGACTGTCCCAGACTCCTCTCTCTCAGTAGGGAAAACATGCCCACCTGTCTCAAGGAGTAAGGCAGCCTGTCCCTGGAGTAGGGCTGAATGTAGAGAAACACTTGGCCTCTGGGGAGGGTTGTGACTCCACGAAGGCTACAGTCTGTGCCACTTCCAGCCTCCATCTTTGCCCTTATCTAGAACTGCCTAAGCAGATGTCTGCAGCTTAGCTGCTCAAGGCCAAATGCAGGCTGCAGCCTGGAGGGGAAGGTCACACCAGGCCTAACAGGGTGAGGAGTTCAGAGAGGAAAGGCAGCCACACGGAGTTATGGTGGCAGCAGCAGCTAGCAAGCACTGGGCTCTGGGGTCTGGAGTGACTGTGCAGAGTGTAAGCGCCTCTCTGAGTC